AAAAGCGGGACATGTCCCGAAAAACCGAGACGTATGGCAGCCCCATACGGTGACCATATTTTTGAAGTGTAAATAAAGGACAAATTATCATGTGTATTTTTTAATTTTTTATTAAATTCAATAAACATATACACATTAATTATAATTTTTTGAATCTCTAAAGAGGAATCTGAATTTTGCCCCCTGTGCGACAGGCCTTAACCGTCTCCAATCGGAACCAAAATGCATACGCGATATCTGTGATCGAGGTATTACCGATTGAGGGGATGAGACTGCCAAAAATCGTTCATTTAATTTGTAAGGACCACCCTAGTATGAATTACTACCTTATACCCGCGGGTTTCACCCCACATTTTTATGCAAATGTGAAATATAGTTTAAAGATGTTATATTTAATTTCCGTGCCCATTTTATACATTTTTTTAACGAGTTAAGGTATTTAGGCCGTTTGAAGCTATGAAATTATAAAATCTTGTCTGCATGGTAGGCATACGAAAGGTATCAATTGCTCTTTCTTTGTTTACCTTAAAATGGTTCCAGGGATACATTGCGTGAACGTGTAGCCTTCTGGCAGGTGCCACGGCGGGTTTTTAATACTCCCAACTCCAATTCAGTAACCTGGCTTTGATAAAATACCACTTCTCAGTATTGTAGCTAAATGTCTCCAGAGGTATGCATCATGCGATTTTTAGATTATATCGCAGATGCCGACTCTTCCTTTTCCATTAGCTGAAATTTTGTCTATCAGTACGGTACTGATAAAATAATTCTCCATAGCAAATTTAAAATATTTCCAGAGATTTTATTATGAAAGTTTTAGTATGTATGGGAGGCCTCGTTTTCTAATAACTCACATCTTTTCCATGAGCAATTGATAAATTTTATATATATAACTCCATACCAAGTTCCAGTATTCTTCCACAAACACATCCAAGGAAATGTGGTAAAAACAGTCCCCTGTTTTCTTATAACCCTAATTTTCTTCAATGAGTTTAGGATTGATTTCACATACACAAGCCAGAATATGTTTCTATAGTTATTTTTTTTTACTAATTGCAATGTTTTTCGTAATTTCGTTAATTTTTGATAGAAATATAGTTCATTCTGCATCAAATGGCATATAAAGTAATTATTCAAAGTTTTACAAAATTGACAAATTTACACCAAAATTTTCAACTTTTAAATAACATTTTTTAGAACTTTTTTGAGTACGTAGTTTTGTAGTTCACTCAAATTCAGTATAATCAAGTACAAGTTTTAAGTAGCTTTAAACTACTGTTGATTTTTGAGAATTTTTTTTGCTGATGATGTTGCTCATTTTCTCCATATAACGGATGCGTGATAGTTTTTTGTATGGGAAAAATACCGAAGAGCGTCAATAAAAAAATTCGCAAACTCAACGGTAAATTATAGCCACTTAAAACTTGCACTTTCCTTCCTTCCTTATTTGGCACTGTAACCGCCTAAGCGAATTGGGCCACGTTCAACAAAGCACGCCAGTCGTTTCTTTTCCGTGCCAACTGACGCCAAATGGAAATGCCAAGTTCTTCTCCACCTGGTCTTTCCATCGCAGTGGGGGCCTCCCTCTTCCCCTTTTACCACCAGCGGGTTCCGAGTTGAATTCTTTCAGAGCTGGAGCGTCGGTGTCCGATCGAATGACATGGCCAAGCCAGCGGAGGCGCTGTATTTTAATTCGCTGCACTATGTCATGTCGCTGTAAGGCTCATACAGCTCATCGCTGCATCGTCTGCGGTACTCGCCGTCGCCTACGTGTAAAGGCCCGTAAATCTTCCACAGAATCTTTCTCTAGAATACTCCAAGAGCCGCCTCATCGGATGTTGTCATTGTCCATGCTTCTGCGCCATATACCAGCACGGGCATGATGAGTGTCTTATAGAGTGTGGTTTTCGTACGTCGAGAGAGGACTTTAGTCCTGAATTGCCTACTCAGTCCAAAGTAGCACTTGTTGGCAAGAGTGACTCTGCGTTGGATTTCCATGCTGACATTATTATCGGCGTTAAAGCTGATTCCCAATAAACGAAATTCTCTACTTTCTCAAAATTATACCTGTCAACAGTGACGTGGATGCCAAGGCACGAATGTGCTGACTGTTTGTTTGATGACAGGAGCTACTTCGTCTTGTCCTCGTTTACCTCCAGACCCATTCGCTTTGCTTCCTTATCTAACTTGGAAAAGGCAGAACAGACTTCGCGGTTCTTGTTACCGATGATGTGATGTCATCGGCGTACGCCAGCAATTGCACGCTCTTGTAGTAAATTGCTAAGCGGTTGAGTTCTGCAGCTCTTATTATCTTCTCCAACATCAGATTAAAGAAGTCACATCATAGGGAGGCGCACTGTCGGAAACCCCGTTTGGTGGCGAACGGCTCGGAGAGGTCTTTCCCAATTCTGACGGAGCTGGTGGTATTGCTCAACGTCATTTTACACAGCCGTATTAGTTTGGCGGGGATGCCAAACTCAGACATAGCGGCGTATATGCAACTCCTTTTAGTGCTGTCGAAAGCGGCTTTAAAGTCGACAAATAGGTGGTCAATTATGCAATTTATGAAATTTTTGCACATGCACTTCTCAACTGCCATGTAATTGGACTTTCTTAAGTTCTGATTAGATGGCTCTCCAAATTATGCTCTGCCTAGTCGGATGCATCCTCCGGACACTGCTTCCGGAGCATTTTGCGGACTCTGCATGACTTACAACCATGCAGAGGTGGCAAACGAACTTTGCCATTGGCCACAGTGCCTACCCACCATTTTTGAACCAATAAATATTTTTTTTTATATGAATACATAAATGTAAACATACTGGTCTCCCCTCTCACTGAGTTATTCAACCATGTTTCGGGCCCCGGCGAAGTCGATCAGCATCAGTCCGTTGTCGGACGTTTCGTCGTGGAGGCTGAATTTTTCGACGGTGGTCCCAAAGATCCCTTCCTTGCCCACCCTGACATTGAAGTCGCCAAGCACGATTTTGATATCATGACGGGGGCAGTGCTCGTACGGGCACTCCAAGCTCTCATAGGAGAGATCCTTGGATGCCTCATCCTTCTCTTCCATCGGGGCATGGGCGCAGATGAGCGAGATGTTGAAGAATCTCGCTTTGATGCGGATTGTGGCCAAACGCCCGTCCACAGGGATGAACGACAGTACTCGGGGACGGAGACTCTCTCCCACCACAAATCCAACACCGAATTTGCGCTCTTTTACATGGCAGCTGTAGTACGTGGCGGGTCCCAAACCCAGCACACAACTCATTGATGGAACGGGGGTGGTTTTGTAACCGAATACACGTTTAAAAAGCGCGCCGCTTGCTCCAAGACAGACACCCGCTTGCAGCCGCACCTACTGGTGAACAGACGCTGCAGACTTCAGTGAGCCCTTAAACCGAATAAGTCGGAGTGTCCCTACCAAAGCTCCCTCTCTTTCTGCCATGATCCAAGGATCCACTCGGATTGGTTACCGCATCTCGCACATGGGTTGCTCACGTTGCCCAGAGTGACACACGTTGCCGTGCGACAGTAACTGCATACTCAGCACAACGACTATACCCCATTGCACTCTGAAAACTTGCACTTTATTATACTAAAATTGAGTGAAGTACTAAACTGCATACTCAAAAAAGTTGTAAAAAACGTTGTTTAAAAGTTGAAATTGTCGAATTTTCTTAAAATTTTTAAAAACTTTGAGTCATTAATTTATATGCCATTTGAGAATGAACTATATTTCTATTAAAAATTAACGAAAAAATTTGCTACGAAAAACATTGCAAATATTAAAATTTAAAAATAAAACACTGTACGGAAACATATTCTGGTGATTGTACATATATATCCCCATACCAAGCTTGGGTACTCTACCACAACTATTTGAAGAGATATGCAATATGTAAGTTTCAGTTAGTATGGGAGGTTCCACGCCCATTTTCCCAAAACCCCATTTTTTCCGTGAGTGTGAATTTGATTTCCCATACATACATATCTCCATACCAAGTTCCAGTACTCTCTCACAAATACTTCCAGAGATATGTATGCATTATGAAAACTCCAATTTATATGGGAGGGGCCACGCCCTCTTGATTTATAGGAATTATTTTAAGTCTAACACCATCCTTGGGAAATCCGTAATAAGTGTGCGAAATTTGGATTCTGATCGGAAAGCGGTTAAGGAAGTAGTCTATTTTTTAATCCTGGTCATAAACCATCTGTTGCTACCTTTATACGTAAGCTATTCGCAAATAAAAATAATTTGTAAATACCTAACTCACTGTTTATTCGATGGTGAAAAATTCTTTTTTAATATTGCCTGATTGTAAAAATGACCACCGAAAAAGAAAATAAAGTTAAAAATGGCAACGTGTTGATTATAAAAAGGCAATAAGATGACCATCGAAAAAGAAAATAAACCTAAGAGTGGCGGCGTCTTGCGCTTATTTGCCAATAGTACCACTAATCAATACTTATTTGTGTGATTTAGTTATTTGCAAATAAAAAATTAACTCAGCGTTTATACGCCAAAGTTTACCATTTTGCAAATTGTTATTTGTAAATAATACGTGCGTATAGACGTAGTATGTGTGCGAAATTAAATTTACAAACGGGTGGCAACCCCCTTCAAAAATATCTTCGAATTAACGTCTCCCCAACATTTTTTCGTTAGACACCTGTATTGTAATATTTGATAACACTCATTAATTTAATTTAATTTACTTAACAGGTGGCAACTCTTAAAAAGTAGCCTATTTTCCAATCAGGTCATGAACCATCTGTGTGCAAAATTTAATGCAAATCCGTTCAGTCGTTTCCGCGTGATAATTAAACTAGATAAACTTTTATAACAGGTGGCAACTCTTAAAAAGGTAGCCTGTTTTTCAGTCTAGGTTATAAACTATCTGTGTGCAAAATTGCATGGAAATTCGTTCAGTCGTTTTCGCGTGTGGAACTCCAAACATACAAACTTTCACATTTATAATATTATTAGGACTTACGTGGTAAAACAAAGCCGAAGCGTTCCGAATCACTATTGACAAGGCGAGTTTTCAAGGTGCGTCTACCAACTCCTGGAACACCAATCAAAACAAGAGTTTTCCTTCGAAACGGCGGCATTTTAGTTACTTCCTCATACAACATCAAATCGGCTTTATCAAATTCACAGTTTGCTATGGATTTGTACATCGTTGTTTTCTTACGTTTAGAAACCTTTTTTTTTAAATTAAGAGAAAATGTTTTTATAATAATTATAATATATATTTAAAAATACACATGGTTGTTTAAATAATGCGAAAAAAGCAGATATGGGTTTATACTATCACAATTACATATCATCATCAATGCAAAAGGCGCTATTTGGCATTCTTATGAGGTTTCTTTCATTAGCGGGGTTTCCACGTGTGTAACAACATGGTGTGATAGCTATCGATGTTCGATTGTGTAAAGTCTTAAACAGCCACTCGACACAACGTTGGATGGTTTACAAAAAATTTTAACTAATAATGATAGTAAATTTACGAAAAGGTGCGTTGTTTTAAATTGTATCTGCCAGTGATTCTATAACGAAACAATGTTTACCACGCGCCAACGAATATAGCATGCGTGTGTGAATGCGTAAGCGCTTAGCGAAAAATCGGTAATCGCTTCTACACCTTTTCCAAATGAACTTCAGATACCGTAAAATATACTTCAGATTAATCAAATGCACTTCATAAATCGTAAAATAACTTCAGAATAGTCAATTGTATTTCAGAAACCAGAAAAAATACTTCAGATTCGTATATTGTACTTCAGATACCGTACGATGTACTTCAGATTAATCAACTGTACTTCAGCAACCGTTGAATCTTCTTCAGATTTGTCAATTGTATTTCAGAAACCATACGGTGACCATAAATATATTTTGAAAATGCAGGACAATTTTTCAAAAAATTTACCTACATATAATTGCGTAGTATAAAAATAACAAAAATATACTACATATATACATTCCTCGTCATTTGAATAGCGCACCCTCTTTTTGATCAACAAAAAAAAAATTGTCGCCCATATGTTTATTTTTTTTTTAATTTTCAAAAATTTTTAAAATGGGATGTAGACGTAGAATATGCTATATTTTTATAAAAAGTTAATGAATATTCAAGAAACAAAAGGAAAACTCTACCTACTAAGTATTAAAAGGTTGCGCTATTCAAATAACGAAGAGTGTATATTTCTTAATTATTAATCCAATTTTAAACTTTAAACATAAATCACATTTGCTTCATTGGTATTAATCTTTTAGTAATGAATATTTGCAAAATTATAATAAGGCATATTACATATTACTTTACACGAAATATAAACCTCTGTAAGGCAAATTTTTTAGGCAAACTTTGGGTCGTTGAACACGAAAAAAATACCCATGGTTTCAAAGAAGTGTTTTTGAGATTTGTTCGAAAAACGTATTTTTAGTACTTTTTCAGTTATTCCTCAATATCTCATGAAACGACCAACAGTTCGAAAGGTATTGATGGGCTCTTTGCAAAAATATATATTTTTTGTGCAGATTGTGTTTTCCGTAACATCTACATTTCTCATCAGATTTTCATTTACTGTAAAAAGAAAATGATTGAAATTTCAATTTTTCGATTTTGGTCGCTTGTAACACTAATAATTTTCATCGAAATCGGCAAAGTAATATATTTTTGTAAGAGGACTGTAGGTCGCTTATATTGATTGGATAATTTTTTCATTACATATTGACGAATTGGTTCGAAATATTCCAAAAACACGTTTTTCGAAAAAATTACGAAAACGCTTGTTTGAAAGGAAAATTGGCTTGGAAAATATTTTTTTTCTTAAGCGATTACCACAAAATTTGTAGTACAGTGTTATCGATATATTTGATGCTGGTCTTCAATTTCTCGTCATCCATTGTCCATAACCGTACAATATTTAGAACGCATTGACTAGTTGAACCTTCAAAACCAGCTTACCCTTATGTAGTTATCAATTAGTTATCGACACTGCTTTTATTTCGATTAGGAAAAGTTAATTTTAAAATATCGAAGAAAATGCGGGATAAAGGCAGGACACTTAGAAAAAATCAGTACATTTTGGGGGTTTTCTGTTGTGAAAAACTACGCAGGACAGACCTTTAAATAACAGTACGGTCCTGCAAAAAACAGAACGGATGGTCACCGTACATATAGCGTAAAATAAACTTCAAATTAGTCAACTGAACTTCAGACACCGTAAGATGTATTTCAGATTAGTACTGGGTAAGAATTCCTGAAGTGGGCCACCTAAAAATGTTAGGTCTCAGTTTTTGTTTTTAATACCATATTCTGGTAGAGTTTATAGTCCTATATACGTGTGCCAAGTGATTTGGTAAAAAAAATTTGTTGTTGTTAATATTGAGCAATAAAGTTTTTTGTAACTTTTTCTTCTGTCGACTATAACTTTTGCTAGGTTCTATCGATTTTGAAATTTCAAACTGCCATCGACTCATAATTCTTCACATTTCAAGCCTGTAATTTTTCAAAAAAATTATTACGTAATTTATTGCATATTACTTTCAATTGTTTATAACAAATTATGATAAAACAGTGTTCTGCATCGAATTTTTTCATGAAAAAAATACTGTATATGTATCAAGGGGAAACCTGAATGAATCCGTTGAGAAAAAAAATGAGACTCATTTGGAAAAAATG